TCAGTGGAAAACCAGAATTGTTTTAAACACCAATCAAAAAAGTGTAGATGCAGGTACCATTAAAATAGAAAATGGAATATTCCAAGGGGACGCATTAAGTCCGCTATGGTTCTGTCTGTCGCTGCGACCCCTGACAACTATGTTGAATAGGCAGCGCAAAGGTTATATACTGCCACACTCAGACAAGAATATTAGCCACCTTTGGTACATGGATGATTTAAAGCTGTATGCAAAGTCTAAAAAACACCTTGACGACCTTCTGACTTGCGTCACCCGATTCAGTCGCGGCATAAAAATGTCATTTGGGCTGGACAAATGTAGGACCAGCGGGATGGAGAAGGGCCAGTGGGTACATCACGCGGGATATGAAGTTGCTGAGCGGCAAACCATCGTCGGAATGGAAGAGGGAGAAAGGTACAAATATCTCGGATATCTGCAAGCAAGAGGTTTAGACCATACAGCAGCAAAGGCAGACAGTAAGTGACACTACATTAAAAGAATCCGGTCGATACTGAAGACTAAGCTGTCTGTCAGGAACATGGCAAAAGCAGTTACACCTATGCCACATCTGCAGTTTCTTATGCTTTGGAGTGATTCACTGGACAGCAACAGAACTCAAAAACCTCAAAACCTAATATCAAAACCAGAAAAGAGTTCAGCAAATTTCGAGCACATCATCCACGTTCATCATTGGAAAGGTTCCACTTGCCTAGAAAGTTGGGTGGAAGAGGTATACCTGATCTAGTTATTAACCACAACAGGCAAGTAACAAACCATAGGAACTATACTAAGTGACATATAATGTAAATCCGAACACCCAGTTTAAATGGTTTTATTTTAATAAAAGTTAGTGAATGTATTTATCTTACTGTAAATAACAAGTGAAAAAAATTTCAGCCTTACAGTTGGACATTCCGGTTTTTATACTGCTTTTTTTAATTCACTAACGCTCTAAAAATGAATATTTCAGCCGCATTAAAGAATCAACGTTGGCGGATTTTGGTTCTTGACATCCTTTACGATCGGTTACGATGCCTAGAGTACGGAGACCTGTACGATTTCGTCAACTTAGTGAGTTTGATAGGGGCCGTATAGTGGGACTTCGGGAAGCTGGACTTTCTTTTCGGGCAATTGCAGCTAGAGTGCAAAGAAGTGTAGACACTGTGGTTAGGTGTTGTCAGGCATGGCTTCGAGAAGCCGTACGCAAAGAGCAAGGGGCACTGGACCCGCCGTAGAACAACAGACCGTGAAGATCGCCGCCTAAGATTATTGGCCTTAAGGGACCGTTTCTCCACAACCAGGTCCATTGCAAATGAATGGTTTGCAGAATACGGAAGACCTATTGGCATGCGAAGTGTTTACCGACGAATGAGAAGTTTTGGCTGCTTTTCATACCGGCCACACTGGGTCGTCCCTTTAACTCGAGAACACCGACGTAATCGCCTTGAGTGGTGCAGACAACGGTCACTCTGGGATCAGGAATAGAACAGTATTGTCTTTAGTGACGAGTCTCGATTTTGTTTAGGCATGCACGATGGTCGTGCCAGGGTTAGAAGGCGACGTGGTGAAAGGAGGAATCCACAGTTTTTTGTTGAAAGACATGTTCATCACACTGTTGGATTTATGGTTTGGGGTGCTATAGCTTATGGTTCCAGGTCACCTTTAATCTTCATCAGAGGTAACATGAACGCGCAGCGTTATACCCACGAAGTTCTAGAACCCCATCTTTTACCCTATCTTGACACCCTGGCAGATCCAACTTTCCAACAAGATAATGCCCGCACACATGTTGCAAGAGTCACAATAGACTTCTTTCAACATAATGATGGCACATTGTTACCATGGCCACCAAGATCTCCCGACTGATCCCCAATTGAGCACATGTGGGATATGATGGGTAGGAGATTGCTCAATTTGCAACGTCCTCCTCAGACTCTAGAAGCACTTCGAGAGGAGTTGGTGGTTGCCTGGAATGAGATACCACAGGAGGACATTGACCACCTGATCAGAAGCATGCCTAGGCGCGTTGGAGAATGCGTAGCACATCAGGGTGCATCCACACATTATTAAAGGTCAAAGGGCTTTAAAGCAGTGCAATCATTTTGAAATTTTTATCATTTACTTATTATGCTTCATTAAGTACTTATACAAAATTTTATTAAAATAAAACCATTTAAACTGGGTGTTCGGATTTATATATCACTTAGTATACTTCCTCGCCAGCGCTGCGTCCTGTGAGATTCACCACGCTATCATAAGGGCGGACAATAGGGCTACTCCTTTAAAACTGGCAGACCAAAACTTCAGCCTTAGCGTGGACCAGCTCATACCCGAGCAACAACTGCAACAATGGAAGAGTAAGGCACTTCATGGTAAATACCGCACTCTACTCGAGAGCGATAAGATCGAACCTTCGCATCCACGGCCTACCTCCGCTCTGGAAACCTGTTTGCTGAGACAGAAGGGTTCATATCTGCTATCCAAGATCAGGTCATCGCAACTAAAGGATATAAAAGAAACATAATGCGGGAACGACAAGACAATATCAGATGTCGTGTGTGCGGTGAAAAGGATGAATACCTGGACCACATCATCGCTGGCTGTTCAATGTTGGCACCGAAATCCTACCTAGACAGGCACAACAGAGTCGGAAAGATAATCCACCAAAGCCTTCGTGAAAAGTACTTGGAATTGACAGAAATAGTGCCGTACTATTTATACGAGCCGCCTGCTGGGTGCGAAGATGAACAAACCCGGCTCTCCTGGAATCGAAAAATTATAACTGATAGACCGATAAGTAATAATATACCGGATATCGTGCTCACTCTAAAAAATGAAAACAAAACATACATAGTAGATTTCGCTGTGCCATTGGGAGCCAACCTAGAAAAGACACATGGAGAAAAAATCAATAAATACCTACCCCTGAGCGATGAAATCCGCCAAATGTGGGACATGGAAACAGTAGTCATCATCCCCATTGTGATCGGAGCAACTGGAGAAATATCTAAAAAATTAAAAACATCACTGCAACAACTAGGATTACCGTTTGAATTATACTTACCCATGCAAAAGTCGGTCGTGTTGGACACATAGTCCGTAGAGTTTTAAGGCTGCTACACACAGTGCCGGCGGCAGGGCCGTCGGCTAAGCCTCCGTGCACCCGGCGGCATACAAAGCCGCCGGCCTTGCCGCGCAAAGGACCCGCCGGGGTGTGGCGGCGGGTTACGCGGCTTGCCGGCGTCACTTCGTTCCTGGCATTCGAGAGGTAGTGTTGTGCGGTTTGTGTGCTTAAAAAAATTAAAATGTCGTTTAATTGGGACGACGAAGCTGCGCTGCTCTTAATTGAAAAATTTCATGAAAATGATATATTATGGAATCCCAGAAATGCAGACTATAAGAATAGGAACAATCGAATGGACGCAATTGAACATAATTGCAGTGTATTTGACATTGATAAAGGCGAAGTAGAGAGAAAGTTAAAAAATGTAAACCTCGTATTATTTTCGGGAACAAAAGAAGTTCGAACAGTTGCACAATCTGGTGCAGGCATAGACGATGTACGAAAACCCAAAAACATGCTATTGCGCAAACGCTGACTACCCCATATCATCTTTTTATACTCTTCTATCATTACAGTACCCGTTTCGCCATTTTCTATTTTGTGCAACTTGGGTGCAAACCAAAACCTTCTCGTCCTTTTGTATTTTTTTTCTATTAAAATAAAAATTACAACTGCGGCGGCCTGTGCTGATGATTTCCTTATTCATTTTAACCACCAACCATAAATATGCACTTCACTAGCGTTCTATGTGACTGTCACAACCGGAATGATGCTTGGCGGCTTGCGCGGGCTTGTGCCGGCGGCTTGTATTGCCGACGGCATAGCCGCTCGGCATAAACCCGGCTTGTGTGTAGTAGCTTTTAGGGCGGCACTAGAACAAGATGTTTCTAAAATCATCCTTGAACGGGCCATCTTGTTTCAAAACCGATGTCCAGCGTTCTTAAACCCAGGGAAGCCTGTGAATCAGTTAGATGATTAATGATAATAATAGTAATATTATAATAATAATAATAGTAATTATAATAATATAATTATAAGAATAAAAATAATATTATAATAATACCATACCATACCAATACCATACCATTTATTGACACATATACATAGTAATTATATGGTTTGAGGTCACAAACTAATAAAGTTTCAGAATTGATCATTTACTGTTCAACGCACTGTCAGAAACCACTAGAGTCACAAAGCATTCAAATATTCATCGACAGAGTAGAAACAGTTTGTAGTAAGACCTTCTAAGAAACCCTGAGAACCGCCTTGTTGGCATCTTATATTTGAGGCTGTATGAAACCTGGCAAAGATGTTGGTAAGAAGACCATCGTGGCTTGTTATTATGTGTCATGAAATCCGAGATCTCGGTGCGGAGATGCTATTAGCTTGCGAGTGTTGTAACTATGTGTCTCCGACCGAACAGGGAAGGTGTTAAGGTTTGGCGATGAACGTATAGAAGTGTCTCATAGATGAAAAGGCAAGCTAAACGGCAATATCCGCAACTCTTTGAAAAGGTCGCGACATGTGTGATTGAAGGGGACACCTGCTACAATCTTATCGCAGCTTTTTGCATTATAAAAGCTTTCTGCGCCTTTACGCAGCTATACCAAATAATAGCACCATATGCAAGGTGGCTATGAAATAAGGCTAAAGTAAACGGTTTTTCAAGGTTTCCCTGTCAACAAATGAGATAATTGCCTCATAATAAACATTTGTCTGGACTATCTTAGAGCAAACGTGATCCACATGCTCCGACCAGTCAAATGGCTGTCTATCACAAACCCCAATAGCTTACGGATGATTGTCTCTCGTTCCATGTGTCTGAAGTTATTTTTAACTTACGGTTTTTCCTTCATTGAGTTTAAGTTTTTTTGAGCAGAACCACTGCATAACCTGACTCATGCTTGGATCTCCTCCAGATGGTTAGGCCTAGAGAGCAAAGTGGTGTCATCTGCAAAGGGGATAGCACTAGCTACTGGTGACATTCGGTGGCAGATCGTTGATATATACTAAAATAGTAATGGACCCCAGACGGAGCCTTGGGGGACCAACTACTTATGGGTAGCGTCTGCGATTACTCTACTCCCTCAAGACTAACAACTGCTTCTACTCTACCAACCATAATATGATTGCATGAGCGCAGTGATTTTTACACGGATCCCATAGAACTCTAACTTGTAAGCAGTATACATGTATCGACACATCGAAGGCCTTGGTTAGGATCACACTGATTGTTAAGGTGCTACTTCCTACTATCAATGCACTCTACTGCATCCTCGATGAAACTAAGCGAATTGCTTTTATGGACGAACAATGCTTCCGAACCCGAATTGGGAAGCCGAAGAAGAAGGGTTATTATATATATAATAATAATAATAATAATAATATATAATCATATTATAATATATAATATATATAATAATAATAATAATTTAATAATAATAATAATCATAATAATATTACTATTATTATAATGTTAATAATAATAATAATAATAAAATAATATCATATCATATCATATCATTTATTCACAACTTTATAGACATATATTGTACATGTGAGGTTCTAAACACTAGTTTACATTAATCAGGTATTCCATATACTCAGTGACACTATAAAAACAGTGTTCCAGTATCAGTTTCTTTACAAAACGCGAGAAACTTGAGGTTGACATGCCGTTTACGTTAAATTTTCTGTAGGCTTTAACAAGCTGGTTATACATATTTACATCGGGTCTGTTGATTTGAGTCAACATCAAACGTGAATACTGGTTCCTAAACGTATTCGTTGATCTCAAGCGGTACGTACTGCTAGGAGTTGTGTTTTGTTAAAATTAGTGTGAATGTATAGCAATGATTCGTAGTTATAGATTGACGCTAAAGGCAGTATCCCACAATTCTTAAATAGGTCTCTACAAGTAGCTCGAAATTTGGAATTCGTTAATATCCTCACTGCCAACTTCTGTAATTTGAAAACTTTGTTTAAAGCAACCGAGTTACCCCAAAGCACAGTACCATATGACAGGTGACTGTGAAAGATGCTAAAATACATAACCCTCAGTGTATGACCACTAAGACATCGGCTGAGTTGTCTGAGTATGTACACCTGAGTGGAGAGCTTGGAACAGAGGTAGTCAATATGTGAGGACCAATTAAGTCTGGTGTCTAAAACTATCCCCAACAGCTTCACTGGTGCTGACTTTGATACCCACCGGTCCGATGAAAAAGTGCTTTCATTGAGAGACAATTTGTTAGCGAGGAACCAACGTTTAGCCTGTTTCAAGCTTTCCACAACCGAGCACCGATCTAAACGGGCGAGCAGTGTGGTATCGTCAGCGAATAGAATACACGAGCTGTTGACAATATTTTGAGGCAGATCGTTGATGTAAATAAGAAACAGTAATGGGCCAAGCACCATTTCTTATCTCCAGCACTCCAGAGGTAATGCCTTCGATGCTGACGTACTGCCTCCTATTTGTAAGATAGGATTGGAAAAGGGCTAGCTCATTGCCTCGCATACCGTAGTATTCAAGTTTATGAATAAGTATTCGCGTATAACGCAGTCAAACGCTTTTGTTAAGTCCCACATAGCTGCCATAGTACCTATGCGGTATGTCAATAGTGTCCAATACTTCCTCAAGCAAGTGAAGTAATGCTTTGATGGTTGTGGAGTTTTTTTCGAAATTCAAATTGATAGGCAGAAAGTATAGACTTTTTTTCAAAATAGTTGCAAGCTTTTCTTTCAAAAGGATCTCAAAAATTTTTGCGATTATAGGGATGATTGCAATCGGCCTATAGTTGTCAGGGAGTCACTATCTCCTTTTTTTGTAAATTGGTATTACTTTCGATACTTTTAAAGCGTCAGGCCAAACACCTTCGTGTATACATTTACTGTACAGAGCAAATAGCGGTTCGGCTAAAATATCCACACAACTCTTCAAGATAGCGCTGTTTAGGCCATATAATCTAAAGAATAAGAATCTCTTAGGAGTAAGATTGCCGTCCTGACATCTTGAAGAAGTATTGGCAGTATTGGACTAATGAAAAATGAAAAATGTGGCCGAGTTACATTTTTAAGGTAATTCTCTGCATCCTAATTACATACAGGCAATGATTTAGTATTTTGTTAGCTATAGAGATAAAGAGTTTCAACTCTTCAGAACTTAAATTAGTTTTAGAAGATGTACTGTTTTATTTTCCGCATTGACAATTTTCCAGATAGATTTATTTCTATTATGTGAGCTTTCAATTATGTTTGCGTAACAATTCCTTTTTACCTCCTTTATAGTTTTCCTATAGATGTTTCGACTCACTTTAAAGTCCTCCCAAATCTTTACGTCTCTAGTAGCATTAAATGCTGTTTTAAGTTCGATCATATTCTTTCGCATCTGACGCAGCCTGTCGTTATACCAGTTAACTGCAGAAGATCTTTTT